TTTCGAGTATTTATTCGAGTAGGGCAACAGGTTGATAACAGCGCTGTTATTTAGCCACCGACCAGAATCGCACACGTACATTGATGGCTGATGTTTGCTGTGAGACTGCTTGCCAGGCAAAATCGTACCACGTCCGCAGACGCTACCATTAATTCACGTCGTCACTTTCACAATTGCTCAAACAGCAGAAGCGCTTTGGGTATATGCTCAACGGAATAGATGCAACCGACAAGTTCGTTTTTATTAGGATTTGATTAGTAATTCCTGTTTATTTTCAAATGACTATACAAATCATTGATGCAAACGTTTCCTCATGCTGCGTTTGTTAGGCAAGCCAAGAATGAACGCAATTTGGTCGTCCACTTGCTTGTTTACATGTTGAGTAAATGAATTTAATTGTAACGTAAAAGTTTTTAAATTACAAAATGAACTAAATTTTAAAAAAATACTACAAGAAAGAGAAACAGTTAAGTATTCCTCAATGATATAAACAAACGGATGGATTCATCTTAAGGTTTCCATTTGTAGTGTGAGATTCAACCGAATACTGAAAGTGTTCAGTCAGTCTCCATTCCTCCCCGAGTTATCCGGATGAATAACCGTCCGAGTTTCAATTCACGTGCAGCCAGGACGACTCCTGGTCGCTAAGTGAAGCCTTCGAAGTTTTACCTGGTCTGTCTGAAATAGATAAATTCTCGGTTTCTGCAGGTTGAATTTTGACAAGCGTTAGACTCACTAAGCCGTTGTGATTTATGCAGGCCGATAATAACAACGTGGGTGGGCGTTAGCCCGCATGACCTGTTCGTATTACCCGGATGCTCCACACCTCTATTCCCTGTTTCATTCACCCTCGCTCACGCACGCACGCACGCACGCACGCACGCGCGAGTGTTTGCTTGCAGACGCGATCACATTTCACACCTACACCACACCACCAATATTGCTCGAATTCCAACCATCCCGGGACTGTATGCATCCGAAACTCGAACGATGATTTGCTGGTCAGAAGGCAGTCTGTTATCCATCATTGCGAAGCTATTAGACGCGGTCCGGATCGAATTAGGCAAATGGCACCTCCTCTCGCGCGATATGACTGTACTCACAGTGAGGTCTTCTTCGAACTGCCTCACGTAAGCACAATCATTCATCGATGCTTAGCTCTTGGTAGAACTCCTCAAGCAATTAAGGCCCAAACATTTTGGAAACAATTTGTCCGAAAAAGGGAAACTCTTCAAGAAATTTAATAAAGCTGACACGCATCCCACCTGTCAGCGAATAGATTGGATCGAAATTGTAGAAATTCTGGGGTTTATTACGAAGACACCACATTCTAAAATAATCGAATGCCATCACATACAAACACACGCATTTTGAAGAAAGGACTGTGTTTGTGGTCCACGAAATTGTTGTATAGAAAAGCTAAATAGACTGTTTTATGATACAATAGTTGTTTATTGAAATGCACATGCCATCCACAGTTTATAGCTTATACCATCAATTGTGTCGTTACATTCCGTAAATTTGATGTGACTTTCTTCAGTTGCTGTCCTTCACTCTCTCTTTCTCATTCCAGGAGTTATCCTCGCAAGCGCGGACAGGCTAGTTAGCAACAGCACGTGTAACGATCTGGTATGCCTCAATGGAGGTTCGTGTGTGAAGGACGGGACAAAACCGGTTTGTAGTTGTACTATTGGCTACACTGGTGAGTAACCATTCTATGTGTGTGTGCGTGTGTGTGTGTGCGTGTATGTGTGTGTGAAGGGGAGTAATCGTGCGCACAATCCGTTGCAACTCCGAAGAACTTAGCTGGATAGAAATGTGTCATTTTTGTCCATGGTACCAAGAGAATACCAATAGATGATCATTTCGCAACGCTGGAAGATGTTTTCATTACCTGCTTAAGTAGCTGACTGCATGTAGGGATCGAAATTTGAAGGTGAAAGTTTAAAACAAAGCATTGAAACCGCTGTTGTGACAAAATTGTCGATTCTTAATAATCGTCTAGGTTTTTGTCCGTGTTCTCGTTATTCAGAAGGCTTGTCCGTTCGGTAGTTGTTGATAGTTCCTTTCTTGGTCTCCGTTGGCATTATACTTTATACTTTATACTTTCATGGCGCGACTCTAACACCAGATCCTTGATCAGTTTTATCTTGTGCAAAAATCCACAACACTGTCAGTTTTGGAATGCCAAACTCACAAAGAGGTAGGAAGGTTGATTTTTATACGATTTTTATACACAGTCATCACCTTGTGCGAATGGCTCAATCAATTTAGAGTATCAAGCTTGGATTAGCCCATTCGATTGTTCAGAGGCATTATCTCGTGGGGAATTAACAATCTCCCAAGGAGTGAAACCCACACATCCAAGACCAACAAGGGTGCCTGGTGCCTTTGCGCAATCGAATGGGCTAACCCAAGCTTGATACTCTAAACTCTCTAACTTCACCTATATTTTTTCCCAGTGCGTCTTCAAATATATGATTTAAATTTTCTCATAACGTTTTTTCATTGAACAATGATAATGACCACTCGAGGCCAGAGCATTCCTAAGTTCAACTGGGGTTTACGTTCCAAGTTCTATCCATTCAATGTCAACAATGTCATGCAAAAATGGGCAATATGTGCTTCTGATTTCATGGAATTGAGATGACAACCAGCTCAGCGCCTGATTGTATCGTGGTGCTTTTGACTCAGGCATGCAAAATGTTCCGTTTTGACAACATATCGCACAGTCACGTTGTTGCATTCTTCCGAAGTAAAAGTGAGATTATTGAGGTAAATGGTTTTGTGATAATAAATTCAAATGATGGTGACGACATTTGGCAGTCTGTGAAGGGTCGATTCTGTGCTGCAACAGTTGGGTCAGTCCTGCTCCTAACGGTGCAGGGATTCGGCCCCTACACGAACAGGATAAAAATAGATTGTCAGTGTTCGAACACCACTCTCTACGTCGCATTGTACAATTCTGGTAGGGAAGCCGGACTAGCAATGCTGAGTTTTAGGTAGTCGCGCTCGTTCACTGGAGCAAGGGATCGATCTCCATAGACTGCGTTTGGTTGGAGCGCGTGCTGTGCATATCGGTAAATAGATTACCACGACGTGCTGTTTTTTGAGGCACGTAGTGGATAGAAAAAAGTAAAGGGTGGTCAAACCTGGTATAAGGGTATGGAAACCCTGATCAAGAGACTCGCTCAGATAGGCCACGTTCGGCTTCCTGGATGGGGACATCGGGATCAGCGTAATCGATGCTTAGAGACACTGAGTGATATGACCGATTGTCGCAAACCGTGTTCATCGTACGTCCACTCATTACGGTTCCAACACTGTTCTATCGGAATTCTCCGTTTTCTCTTCGACTCTACTTTTAACTTTCCAGTCTTTCTTCTAACCCTTCATTCAAATTGGGAGCTAAAAGATGGCAACCAAAACCGATGCACGAAAGTGCATGATAACTAGTTATACTTACTGAAACTTAAATTGATTTCCCCTGGCTATCACCGAAAAGCCCAAATAGCACTATATTTTAGCCTTTTACCAACCCTCACTCCGCTTTTGTTCCCGTTCCAAAACAATACCGGTTAGAGCTGTTTTGGCATGATTGAGAGGACCTACACAAATGTGTGTATGCATGCCTTTTTGTCTAAAAATATCACCAGCAATGTTTATTGCCTTATCGAGAGCAAAATTGTACAATCCTGTACTTCGTCGAAGCAGCTCCTAGCGAGATGATATGCATGCACTATAGTGATGATTCAGTAAGCTGTGATCCGATTTGTCCGCAAACGGCTGTTTCGTCCCGAATCGCTCCGATGTCCATGAAGATTATCATGTCTGAGCGGAATTCCACCTATATGTACGTTCAGAGCACTCCACTTAACAGAATAGTTGGGAATAATCTTGTCCAATATGCACACTTATTCGAATCCAGCTCACCATTATAATTGATAGTTTTGTTGTTCTGATGTTATCTGTTGCACTCTGCGTTGTTTAAATAATATGGTCTACATGCATCGATCGATAAAGTCACTGGATCCACCCGGTGGGGCATTTCCGGTCTACCCTTGTGCTGTGTATCTTTATCTGTCTTGAAGGCGGATCATCCAGGTATGAATAATCAAAAGCATCCGATCTGGGTGGACATTATAGAATGATTTTTTCCATCCGGGTTTCAATAGACCCACATTCACGTGAGCTTCATCCATAAATGATTTCGATCGGTCTTTCTCTCTCGCTCTATCCCCGCTCTTCGTTTGATCGACCAGCACGGGTTTGTATGCACATCATCCTGTAAGACACGTATGGTGATCGTACGGTGCCAGTCAGGTTTCAGTGAATCAGTGAAATCACCCGGTGTACTGTTAAAGTCTGTTTTAAATCAGTACAGCAGTTCCGTTCCCCCAACATGGTGTTTGGACAATAAGTCCACAATAATGCCACTCCCCATCTCATCACCATGGGCATCATATTCATCGTCTCTGGTTCACTAGAGTGTAAGAAACAACAACAGACTAAAAAACGATTCTACACATAAATACATTATGGTCATTGAGTAACGAGGCCCCGGTCCTTTCCGTGCAACCCCATGCTCACACCCTGGATCTTGTGGGGCGCATGTTTAAATTGCGTTTGTAGATTGAGCGTCAGTTGCTATACCATTTAAGGATTGCCTATGAGGAGGACCAAGATTTGAAAACAAATTCAAAGGCTACACGTAACCCAACGCACGAACGACGAGTAGCCAATTTGACGCAGCAGTCCCGCGTCTCTCTCTCTGTACAATCAGTGGAATACGAATGACCATAGACAAAATATCCCAGCTACTTCTGTTCGGTCTAGCGGTACGTGCGGTTCATCAAATGCTTATAGCTATGTGGCATGTGTCGACAGAGTATTGAAAATCGGTTCTCGTAGCTCGGGTGAACTAAACTCTATTTCGCCTGTTTGACGAGGTTGGCAATTTGCTTGCAAACGTTTCATCACCATCCACACAGCCACAAAGGATGCTGTATTAGAACCTTGTTCGGAAGAATCCAAACGCACTGCAGCACCGACATACTCAAGAAGAAAGAAGAAGGATATCTCCTCAGAGTATTTGCTCGCAACAGCTACACCCGCAAGTTCATTAAAATAACTCTGACCCAAAGAAAGAAACAACAGACGGAGAATCGGGAATAAGAACGATCCTGCCGTACATCAAGGACGTTTCGGAAATGACGGCAAGATTGCTCAGATCATATGGTGTCCAAGTCGCCCACAAACCGATCGCCTGCCTAAGGGGACTTCTGTCAAAACCCAAGGAGAGAACAATGGAGAAGGACAAGAGCAGCGTCATCCACAAAATAAACTGCAAGAACTGTCCAAAACACTATATCGGACAAACTGGGAGAGAACTGTCAACAATGATTAGTGAACATCAATCGGCAGTCAGGAGACATGACCCACTATCGTTTATTTCCCTCCAGGAAGATCAAGAAGGACATCAATTTGATTTCGAATCAGTGAAAATCATCTACCAAGCCCGGTCAAAACACGCCAGAGAATGTCTCGAGGCTTGGCACTTCTCAATCAACTCAATAAACAGGCACATCGAACTGGATCATGTGTACACGCCATTGCAACTCAAGCATCATACGATGCAACAAAAAAGGTCACACCATGACCTGAGAACTGACCAAAACCGTAATCAGGACGGAGGGACAACCACCTCCCCTACCAACTTCATCACCACACACCAGTTCAACGGGGAACCCAGTCGAACACAGTGAGAGCAAGGGACAAACATAGTCGGTGGAGAAGAACACAAACGAATGGATACAAGCAGAACACCACCACTTCACAAGCACGGATGATGTCACCTCTGCTGGTGATGAAACGTTTGCAAACGAATTACCAAGCTCGGCCAACAGGCGAAATAGAATGTTGCACATCTTTGACACGTCATTCTTACACTGGTTGTCTCTAGATCATTTTCACTGCACTGATATTATTCCTTGACCACCAAAATGTCATCTATCCCTGCTCCACCCCACCCCACCCCCGCCGGATCTGGTAGGTCGACGATGCGAGCACCGGGATCCGTGTGTGACCAATCCGTGTCACTCGCATGGTCGATGTATTTCCAACAATTTGGGCCACTTTCGATGCGCATGCGAGTCGGGTTGGATCGGGGAAGATTGTACCGAGGATTTGGATGAGTGCATTGTGGACGAACACTCCCCGTGTGCACATGACGGGATCTGCCTCAACACGGTACGTGTGTGTTTGTGTGTGGCGGGGGGTTGATGATTACGCTTCAAGAAAACCTATGTTCTCGCTACCCTTTTCTTTTTCTTCTTCAATAATGTCATTTTGTATAGTTCGATTAAAAAACGTCATCTACCTCCACATAGTCACACACCTGAACACTAAGAAAAATACCGGTTTAATGGGTCACGGAGGAGATTTATCCGGGTAAAGTAAATCATAAATATGTTTATAATAGGCACAATCCGTTTGCTAGTTTACAGTATGTATTATGTATTATTATAATGTAACGAGACCCGAATATGATTGAGATAAGAATAAGATAGACAAATAAGGCTATTGACGAATGTTTCATGAAGATGTTCCCCTTTTCATACACATTCTTCTATAACTGTGCTGCGATTTAGGTTTTGTGGAACATTTTAGACACCGAAACAACAGGCAGACATTTCTGTAATTTTACAGTTTTTCGGAATTGACAATGTTTTTGCCCGACCAGTTTATTTGATCGATCTTTTGTGACGTATTTTTGATCAAGTGAATTTAAAAATTCACCGGAATTTGGACTATGTCCGTTACACCTGGTTTGTGCGCTACAGGACACTAAAAACTGTCCCCTAATTGAGCTGATCAACCAGAATGACGGTCAGCTGATTTGCCACACAAATGTATGAGTTCAAATTGTGTGCCAAACAAATCATGGTACAATAATCTTTGTAAAAAGAAAAAGGTCCAAGATTTGCTCCATGGCATGACACTGTTAGGTTGCCCAGACCAAACCAGGTGAATTTTCATAGGGAGTTCACAGCCGGAGCCCTCAACAAATCAAAGCCTGACTCGCAAGGCAGCGGGTTGGTGTGAGAAAATCTCAATTCATTGGTGNTGGGGGGGGGGGGGGGGGGTCGGTGTCCAGTTCATCGGATCATACGCCCTTCGGACGGAGTTAAACGTCCTCGACACCCAATCGGGCCGGTGACCACTACCACAGCCAGAGAGGCGTGTGCGTAGTTCGTATCCCTCATCTTGGTTCTTTTGGAGTCAGGATTTTTAGCCAACTCCTCTAGGTTCACCAACCTGGTTATAACCCCGGATATTGGCTTTTTATCCTCTCACTTTGGTGGTAAAATACCTCCGCCATGAGAAGACAATAAGTAGGGCTTCCTCAGCAGAGACTGTTTGAGACGCCTGGTTTTATGGGAGCACTTTTTCCGCCACCCCGACAGTACTGAGGCTTTATTAGGCACCCTGACTAACATGAAAATAGCCGTAGTAGTAGTCGCGATGCTCAGAACAAGATGGATTGTCTATATCGCATATCTTATTCCGTGCCGCAGATACTAAAGAAAATGATTATTTTGGCTGCTTGTTATTTAAAGCATGGAGATCGATTCGATACTCCTAGTGTGAATGTGCGATAAACGCTAGAACAAAGAAACCATATCACCACACGACCGGTAGTCGAGATTGAGCAAGTTTCGGATTGAATAGCCTCTTATGGCTTGAATTGGATGGGGCAACAGACAAGTTGTCTTTCTATGGCCAACGTGACTCCCAACATGTCAGCTGAAAGCGGTATCTGCTCACAAGTGTACACCTCGTTTAAAGATAGCTCGTCGAATACCAAGGGTATTTTCCCGTTAGTTGTTATGCCCTTTTCAGAGGCCATTACTGGACCGCCTGTCCAGTGTGAAAATTGACATTTGTGCACGCAAATCCCACACGGATTTCTGGTCCCCCAAAAATATTCCATTTGAACCGACCTTCGGAATTCTGTCTTCACACTTGGGCTCATTATTCTCACCCCCGGGTTTGTCGCTTGTCATTTTTATATTGTCCCTTCCAATCAGTTTGATTTGAGTGGGCGGTAATTTGGGCCTTTTGGGGCTTATTCGTTGCCAGGGTAGAAGAACAACAACACAACATGATGGACAATCCGGACCATGACCAGGTGCGAGGGCGAGTTCAAACAGACCGCCGTTTTTGTTGTTTCATCAACGTTTTCTTCTCTTTCTTGCACTCTCCCACCATTCGAAATCACATACGCAATACAGTGGGATGGGGCGTGGGGGAGCTGACGACCATTTTTGATGCTGCTGCCGCAACCACCTTGCATTGACTCGTTTTCTTTCCCTCTCGCATACACACACAGACACACACAAGCACAAGAACATCCACGTGATCCAGTTCCAATGCCTCGACTATCATTAATCAATTTCATGCAAATGTTTAGGTTTGCGGAGACAATTAAAGGCGATACGGACTGTGACAGAAGCCAGTAACATACAGAACCCTAAATATATCTTTTTAT